CCTCTTGAGTGCTCCCGCGCTCCTGGTCGATACTCCCTTCCCTCGGATCGTGGCGGCGGTGGGGATTCCCTGACTCGCTGGAGCCGCTGGGTTTTCGCTAGGTCTCGCTCGATTTCTCGCCCCACGCCGGTTTCCCTGGGGCATCATCGGCCGTGGAGGTGTCCCATATTTCTCTCGCTTCGCCTGACCCTGCCGTTGCTGAATGTCATCGAGCAAAGCTCGCAGCATTGTAGCCATGTTTGTGTGATCGATGTCCCAACTCTCGCTTCCCATCATCAGATTCCGTATTTCTTTGGGTTCCAGCTACGGGCATCGATAATATTCTTGGCTTCGGCCTTGACGAGAAAGCCTGCATCGCAGTAGGACATTTCTGGCCTGGCAATTTCGGGCGGGTAATGCTAGGTCAGCCGTTAGCGATAACTCCGAAAGAGACAGTCTGATGTGAGAGCATACCAGTCGCATGCAGCACGCGTCCACCCAGCCTGTCGCGCAAGTTCCCAGATCCTGTCCAAATTTTGTCTTGTATTTTCCTCCGTTGGCCAATTCGCAGTCGGTGCCCACTCTGAGCTTGTTGTCGATTGAGCCCTTACAGCAATGCGGCTGCAGGGTGATGAAAGGACTGGCGAGCTTGTCGGCGGGCGGGTACGGATAACAGTGGAACGGCTCACTCTGGGCGAGGATGACGGGTAGCCCGAATATCAAGAACAGCGTAACCAGAAAGGCCGAGAAGCCCAGAGGGCGATGCATCTTGGCAGGGATAAACGAGTGTATGCGAACGACGATAGCCGAGGATGTGACGGCGGCGAAGAAGCGCGCAATGTGGTGGTGAAGCTTTTGGAGGAGTTCGTAGATGGGCCGGGGAAGATGTTGGGCCAGCAGGTGTAGATAAGTGGCCGTAATGGCGAGGATTGGGGGTGGCGACGACGATGAAGGTGGCATTCTAGTTACCTAAATGGACTTCTATTAATGGGACCCTCTCTGTTCGACGAGACTAGCTGACAGGCACGCAGCCAGATAGATTGACTGCGACCAGCAATACCTAGGCCGGAGTGGGAGCGGGTCGCCAGAAGGCCTGTTTGAGTGGAACGTCGAGGTTGCAAGGGCGAGCCAGACAGGCCGCAGGCGTAAGCAGGTGTGTGCAGGCTGACTATCCGTACTTTCCAGGTTCGACTGGGATCTCTAGGTCACCGTAGGTATATCGCGACGGGCGATACGACGTGGACTTTTTCCCTCGAGGAATCAAAGGGGCCACGGGATGGAGACTTGAGGGCGTGCTAGTGCTGCTTGATGACGCCGGGACTAGTGAGTGGCCTCTGCGGAGGGGAGGGGAGCGTCGCAGCGTTCTGAGCTTAAAGTGTGGCGCTGCCGGGACTATCGCCGTTGAGAAGGGTGCGAAATGCGCAGCGAAGTGACGGTGGACGCGTGGAGGGGTGGTGAGTGCGGCCAGGATGTGGTTGGTGTTTGATAAGTCGTTTTGCGGAGTACAGATGCTTTCTCGAGGCAATCGAAGAGCGTGATAACGGGAACGACTGGATTGACTGCAAGTCTGGCAGAGGAGGATGGCTTCGATGGAGGGAGGATCGCTGGAGTGTGGTCGAGTGTCGGAGAGTTTCGCGTTGGGAAGGGTGATTTCCAGGGAGATGGGACCGAAGTGGAAACGGTCTGATGGAGGGGGATCGTAGTCGATGAGATGCTTGACGTTGCCGAGTTGCGATGAAAGAACGCGCAATCCACCCTTGGCGACAAACGGGAGAGACAAACAGCGAGAGGCTACCGTAGAAAGGTTTGCAAGTGTGTATGTACGAATGTCGCGTTTGAAATGAGGATCAAGTTTGTAGGAGTCACGAACATTACAGAGAAGGAGGGGAGGAAAGGAGCGCAGTCACGTTTGTTTGGATGAACCCCAAAGAAGAAGCCACGGCTAAAGGTGGCCGTCAGCCAAGCATTCACGGCAAGCGAGAAGGAGCCAAGGCTAAACTAACAGGAAGGAATCACACGGTATTGGGGCCACGATGGGAAGGATTGGCGGCGACACAGAAGGAAGGAAGCGAGCACACGAGGTAAGGTAGGTAGGTACCTCAGGGAGAAACAAGCAAACGGAAAGACCAGCGGTCGTGAGGCAGGCACGCAGGCATGGTGGAGAGAGTTAGAGAAGGCAGGAGCACTCCGTAGCTTCCTTCCTCCAAGTTCCCAGGGCGAGACCGGGAGACAAAGGCTGGGCGCGCATGAGATGAGAAGGAAGGAGAGAGAAAGAAAAAAAAAAAAAAACAGAGCAGGTACGAAAGTGCGGTACTACAAACAGCCGAGAAGGGACAGTCAGAAAAATCTCAAATGGCTGCCTGCTTGTGTCTTTTTTTTTTTTTTTCTTGAAAGTTCTTTTCAGCCATGTCCCGCGATTAAAATTGCGCCAGTAAGCACCAACACGAATTAGCAAACCAACTGCAAAGTTGATCCAAACACTCCACCCAATGTCACAATGCGTCGTCTAACGGGAATTCATCGTACGAAAGCTCCTTCGAGCCTCCAACGCAGAAAGACCCAATTTGTTGCGCATTTCCAACTCGTGGTTGCCAGGTAGGCATCGGACTAGGTCCCATTTGGAGCTCTCGCATACCTCTGCCCGCTTAGCCGGGCGTTTTCCCCCGCCTGTTGCGCCGCACGCGAGCCGCCAGTGTCCATCGTGCACCACCGCATCATGGGGAAAAGTGACATTGGGATTTGCGGCACAGCAAGCAGGGCCCAGCAGTTTTCCTTTTCTCACCCTTTTTTTTTTTTTTCTTCTTCTGCCAGGTACGAACAAACTCCCTGTGTTACACGAAAGTTCTCTTCAGCCGGTGGGTGGATAATTTCACTCAACTCAAAAAGAGAGGATCATCTCAACCAAATGAGGCGGAACACCTTACCTTGAGTCCATGACTCGATTGACGAATGAGATCGATAGGGCGTTGAACGTTGACTCAAATATGGTTGTCCAAAACCCCGAGTTCGCCGCATGTCCTCAGATGACAGTTCAAATCTTCTGAGCAGAGGGCAACGGACCGCAGCAACTCGAGATTGCGAGGGGGGGAAAGAAGAACACAATGCGTGAGGTGTTCTTCTCTCTGGACGCTTTACCTCTTGCTTCAAGGGGGTTCCCGGGCGTCACTCATTTATCCCTGGTCCTTCCATGCAAGGGCCAGGCCGAATCCCACCAATCCACCCCTCCGACCCGTCCTCTGAGGATCATCATTCTGATTGGCCATGTAGCACATGTGGATAAGGGTTAGAGATCCACTCTTGTGCCCTATCAGGCGAGCCACGAATCAGATGCGCCCGCCTCACTCCCACTCCCCCTAGGCACGGGCCCGTGTGCAGACCCGGCCCCCGATTAAGGTTATCCGGCCGGCCACTTCTCACGAATCGCCGGTGACGCCGGAAAGAACGCCAAGACCCAGCCTTCTGGGCCCGGCCTTCCCAATCTGCCATCGGGCGAATCGGCCCTGACAATTGGTAACTTCCGTCCGAAGGGACCTGGACGCTGATTACGTGCTGTCCTCAGCCACACCCCACCAATCTGCACGGACACTCTCTCCGCCTCAGTTCACACTTGCACCAGCTAACCTCGACCTCGACGAACAGGCCTTGTGGTCCGAAATAATGACCGGTTTGATGAGCACCTCTCTCTGCTCAAAGTCTATCGATCATTAACTACACATAATATGTGCCCATGCCCATTCGCTCAATGATTCCAGTATGACCATCCATTCGATCACGGAGAAACGGTAGTCCAGTGCGAAGACGCTCTTCACTATTCGGCCTGCAGCTTGCGCCGTACTCCGACGTAATCTTTCTGACGGGTTTAATGGAGCTCATTGTCCCATATCGCTCATTAGACTTTTCTCGATATTGAGAGGAAAACTTTGTTACAATCACCAACGCCGATCCGAATTTGTCAAATTGTCTGCGATGGAGGCATCATGGAGGCATCATATTGATTGTCTGTCATCAATCCAACGCAGCCAGTACTACGGCTGTGGGAAACCAAAGCTCCAGCAATGCCGTCATGATGTATGATGGCCACCAAACCCTGTGCCTCGGGACGAATTGCCCCCGGTGCAATGATCTACCTACGAAAGAAACTGTCTTTGAGTGAGCAACGGGTTTCGGTCAGCCAAATCTGGTGCTCGTTGTAACAAGGGAAACCCTGAAACGCGATTGCCTGCCAGCCGCCAAGGGGGTCCTGGAACTGACGATAGTTGACTATCCGTAAGCCGGGCTGACTGTACGGTTGTGAAGAGACCCTGAGTGTCACATGTTGCATTGAACGGCAGAGCCCTTGTTCTTAAGCAGCGGCCCCCTACCCATTCACTCCACATGAGCGACGGATATATGACGGGAGCCTCTATCCGTACATACCATTATACCAGTGGCCTCTACGATGCATGTTGACGGTCGGTCATCATCACACACGCCTTCACCTGCTCAAGCTCTCTCACTTCTAATGCTGAGTATCAAGTACTGATAGATGAAGCGGAACTGCCCTAGAAAGTCGCAACCCTAGCAAACCGAAGGCTTCAAGGGTCTAATGACCTTGACGAGAACTAGGGTCTGTTCGTTGTCTGGGTAGAAGTCTAGACGGACAGTAGGTAACTAACACAAACGTAAATTCGATTGCCATCCAGACTTTTCCGCAAAACCCCAAAAACTCCGTAAACGCCTTTCCCTCATCTCAGACTGGTCCTCCCACCAAACAATCTACCACCCCAAACCCCCTACCCCCAAAGCAAACCCCCCCAAACCTCATCAACGACCCAAACCCCAACCAGCACAACAAACCCAAACATCGAGTCCCTCCTCCCCCCCGCTCTCCCCCCACTCTTCTTCCCCCCCAGGATCACCGGCCGCTGCCCCGCTCCCCCCGTCACCGGCGGCACAACTCCACCGGCCCCCGAAGAAACCGGCGGCGGCGGGCCCCTCTCCTTCGGATAACACCTCACCATCCAACACTTCTCATCCCGACTACACCCGCCCTGAACACCGCAACACTCTCCGCTCACACACATTCCGCCGCAAAGCTTCTTGCCGCGGGAGCAGCAGACCCCCACGGCGGCGTCGACGCAGTCGAAGCCTTGGGCGCAGCAGCCTGGGCCGCAGCAGGGCATTGATTTTGTGCAGCAGTTCCAGTTGCGGGGGAGGTTGCAGGATACTGTGAGGAAGGTGAGTCAGCATGATGATTCTGAGAAGGTAGGGTAGAGTAGGATGGTGTGCATTGGAAGTGAAGAGGGCAGGGGAAGGAGGACAGAGAGAGATATATACCTGTTCCTTTGGGACATGTATCTGGGTCGTCGACGGAACGCGCTGCGTAAAGAGCTGGGCTGCCGACTTCCCACTCTATGATGGAGGCTGCTGGATCTCGTCCGTAGGGGGTGTGGCCATATGAGAGCTTCTCCCGTGGTGGCTGTTGGTACGGTGGCTCTTCGTATGATGGCTTCTCGCGTGGCTGCTCATAGGGCGACGGTTCTTCCGGCGAGCCTTCGTATGCTGTCTCACTGTATTGTGTGTCTTCGTATGGTGACGTCTCATATGGTACCTCTCCAACCCGTGGTGCTGATAGTTGTTGGTTGTCCTGCGATACCTCTTGGGGCATAGCGAGGCATATGGAGCCAACGGCCAACGCTGCCCCGAGTATCCGAGAAGATCGACTGAACTTCATTTCCTCGAAACTATTACTCGCAACTCCTTCGTGGAGAATATGATGATGTGATAGTGAGGGTGAGTGCGGCAACTGTCCAAGGTGTGGTGTTGATATACGGTCCCGTTTCGTGAGGTGTTGTGAATCACTTCACGGAAAGCCAATCAATGAATTTTTACGACAAAAAGATTCTGATTCACCACACTGCTTGTTGTGGGATTGTGTTTGGTATTATCAAGCCCGCCATCTATGCAACTCCGAAAGCTCCCCAAATCCATCCATCCACCTTTACGTCCAAAACCCGGAGATAGCTGTAATCTAAACCTTTCCAGCATCCTCCTTCAGCGACACAATACGGTTGAGAATAATCTTTTCATCGGTACTGTCAGAATCAATGGCCTAGTAGAGGTGTTAGCTTGTATATTGAATTTTCAGTCCTCACTCGTGGCCAGCTTACAAAGTAGGCAATGCGCGTCGCCTGGAAACGAACACTCTCAGGTCCGCCCTTGCCGAGCTCGCTCTCGCCCGCCGCCTCAGGCCAGGGTGCACGCCTCTTGACCTCGTCGAAACCGCTCTCGATGAGCGCATCAGGGTAGATGACCTCGCTCTCGGGGTTGATGTCGTTGAGGAAGCCGCCCTCGGCGTCGTCGGGCTTCTCGCTCTTGAACAAAGAGTTGTGGATACGGGCCTCAACCTTCTTGGAACCCTCGGTACCGACCCAGTTGATGAAGGCCTTGGGCTTCTTCGTCTCCTTGTCGTAGACGGCGCGGATCTCGGTGACCTTTCCTGTCGTCTCATCCTTGGTGTAGGAAGTAGCCTTGATGGGAAAGGGGGCGTTGAGCAGACCGACGGTCTTGTTGGGTGCAAGACGGAAGTAATCCTTGCTGTCGACCTCTCTGAAATCGGCGCGGTCAATGTAGACGGTCGGGGTGAACTTGATCGTGTGCGAACCCATGTTGGGGTCTTTAGGAGAGAAGGCAAGCTCCACGTCAGTAGCCTCGGCGTCTTCGATGACAACCGGGATGGGGTCCAACACCATCATCAATCTGGGAACGGTCCGTTCCAGGTACTTGCGCACCGTCTGCTCGAAACGCTTGATCTGGATGACAGAGACAGACGTCGTGACTCCCAGTTCGTTGACGAAGTCGAGAATCGCGCGAGGGGGCACACCACGGCGCTTGATACCGATCAAAGTGTACAGACGGGGATCGTCCCAGCCACGCACAATCTTCTCCTCGACCAGCTTGAGAATCTTTCTCTTTGATAGAACGGTACCCGTGATACCCAAACGACCGTACTCGCGCTGCATCGGCTCGTAAACGCCAAGGGTCTTGTTGAGCCACTCGTACGAAACACGACTCTGCACGAATTCTGTTGTGCAGAGGGAGTGGGTGATGCCCTCGAAGCTATCACACAGGCAGTGCGTGAAGTCGTATGTCGGGTAGATCTTCCAGTCCCATCCCGTGCGGTGGTGAGGCGTGTCGGTCTTGATGCGGTATGCGGCGAGATCCCACATCTGGGGGTTGCCATCGGTGATATCCTGCTTCATGCGCAAGAAGGCTTCCCTAGGCTTGTATTTGCCGTCCTTCATATCTCTAAATTTCTGCAGGTTCTCTTCGACGGTGTGGTTCGCGTGCTCGCATCGGAATCTAGGGGAAGCGCCCTTCTCACCGCCACGCTGGAGCTTGATCTCGGTGTCTTAAGTTTGACTGATTAGCACACGGAGGGCGCGTAGTATCTGATGCAGAACATAGCCTTACCACCACAGTAGCATACGTATGCCTTTTCCAACGTAATCATCTTCTCTGCCAAATCGTACAGCTTCTGGAAGTTGTCACTCGAGTATGTGATCTTGTACGGCGTGAAACCCAGCCAGCTGATCATCTCCTCAATAGCCGTGAAGTATCTCTCCTCCTCCTTCTCGGGGTTGGTATCGTCGAATCTCAGGTAGCAGACACCTCCGTGGTGCTTGGCGAAACCGAAGTTGACCGCGATGGCCTTGGCGTGGCCAATGTGCAAGCTAGGGGAAAGATGTCAATGGCGTGACAAAGATCAGCATCGGGGCTCACGTACTAGCCATTGGGCTCGGGAGGGAAACGCGTCACGACATTCTCAGATGGCCTCTCCTTGTACACCTCCTGAAGAAATCCCTGCTTGAACATGGCCTCCGGGTCAAGGACGACCTCCTCAGGCTTCGCCTTGGGCTTCGGGGCGGGCTTGCTGTCGCCAGCACCGGCGGCCTTTGCAACAGCATCCTTGGCAGCCTTTGCCTTTTCCGTGGCGGCCTTCTTCGCTCGCTTCGCCAGTCTCTTCTTCAGCTCGCCCTTGCTGACCATCTCTCCCGTCTCCTCGTCGAGCTGAAGCTTGGCCGTTGACTCGGCCAACTTGGCGGTGGGGTCCGCAGCAGCGTCCGCCATGGTTGCGGTGTTCGGTAAGAGATAAAGGGTGGTATTTAAGGTTAAATCTGTCGAAAGTAAGGAGTACCATGTGGTCGCTCAATGGTCGAGGTTCGTTCAATTGGGCTCCACGAGATGTTCACGTCGTGGAAAATGTGTGATTGTGGTGGCGGGGCAACACTGGCAGTCTTCTTTTGCGGCGGGGATGACTCAAATGGACCCAAGGAGGGGTCATTGCACTGGCACAGCGTGCCTCCCTCCTTGAGCCTGCGACACGCGACAAAGAACCGATAAGATAACAAAACCCCGTATCTTATCGGTCAAATTGGTTCCCGATAAGGCACCTCGAAGGACTCGAGGTTGCTAAGGTACCTTACAGTATTACGAAGCTTTCAAAATAGCGATGAGATCTTTCCACCTCAAGGTTGAGGATTGCATTTGAATTACGAATAGTAGTATCCCCCCTTTCCAGCCTTTCACGCTCTCGACTTCCCTGCATTCCAGGGAAGCAATTCATCAAAGATGGACATTCGAGGTGCAGGTACGTACCTTAAGGTAATTCCACTGCGATAGACAGTGCGATAAGGTAAGCTGCCAACAGCTTTGGACCAAGCTCCCATTGAGCTCGAAATAGCGCGGGGTCTTTCGTCATGGGCTCCCTGCTTCTTCGTCACCAACACCTCAAAAGCAGTTCGCCGCGCCGTTCTTAAACCTGCCAAATCATCGACACCAAACCCGAATAAGCAACCTTGAAGCTCGCCTATGCCAATCCGACAAGCCGTCAAAATGGTCACCACCGCCGTCGCCGACATCCCCACCGTTGAGCTCCTCTACAAGATCGGCCAGATCCATGCCACCCCGAAGGCCATCTTCCCCCACAATGCGTCGCATAACCAAAAAGTCGCCGTTGTTCGAGGCGACATCACCACGCTTTGCGTTGATGCGATTGTCAATGCCGCGAATAAGAGTCTTCTCGGAGGAGGCGGCGTCGACGGCGCGATCCACCGCGCTGCCGGCCGAGGACTGCTCCAGGAGTGTAGGACCCTGAATGGATGCGCCACCGGTTCCGCCAAGATCACGGGCGCCTACAACCTCCCTTCCAAGAAGATCATCCACGCCGTCGGCCCCATTTACGACGAGCTCAACCCCGACGACTCCGAAGCGAAGCTTGCGGGTTGCTACAGCACCAGCCTGAAGCTTGCTGTTCAGAACGGCTGTCGCAGCATCGCTTTTAGCGCGCTAAGCACCGGCGTTTATGGCTATCCGAGCACGGAAGCAGCTCCCGTTGCTGTCGAAGTCGTCAGAGAGTTCCTTGACGGAGAGGATGGCGACAAGCTGGATAAGATTGTCTTTTGCACCTTTGAGATGAAGGATGTCAGAGCCTACAACGAGACCCTTCCGTATGTGGAGATCACACAAAACCCCCTCGCGCAGTACTTGACTTGTTTCGCTAATAGTCTCTCGACAGTATCTTCTTCCCTCCCGACGATCAGCCAGCCACGAAGGACAAAACCGAGGCCGGCCCTACAAAGAAGGAAACAGAGGAGGCCAAAGCTATCGCGGCTGAGCTACCTAGCGTTCCCAAGTCCGACCCTTCCCAGTAAGCGACGTTCACGCCGAAACACACCAGCAGTTGGCCGGCGCGTCACTGCTCATGATATTACGACTGTACATCATGATGGCTTGGGGAGTTTATGGACATTGTATCAGGGAAAAGCAAGCGGCTTAGTATACCACCTTTCATCGATACAGAATGACTATGGCAATAGAGTTTGTGGGCCTTTTTGGCAACTATGATCGACCTTGAACTATCTTTGGGTTCGTGCCTTCCCTGCAAACCTTCGTATCCCGTCGGTCAAAGACTCAAATTATTCACGTGACCCACGTAAATCCAACTTCAATGTCAAAGAAAATCAAGATAGAACGCCTGCGCAGTAAGGCTTTCTTCTTTAGACTGTAATGTGATGTAACATATTTGACTTGGATCGAGGGATTCGTCAAGTTGCGATGTCAAAAGGTAGCCATACAGACATTGGAGACTGCGAGCTGCGCAGTTTCGCAAAGAGCCTTTGGCGAACGAAGTGACACGGTGAATGTTCTTTGCCGCTGAGAATCAGGTCTGAAATTTGTTATGAGGTATTGGGGTGGGAAGAGAGGTGGCAGACTTATAAACGACTTACCTAGTGACTTTCTCTATTCCACTTGGTCAACATGGAAATGCTCATGTTTTTCACGAATGCTGAACCAAGAAAGTTTAAATGTAAACTGAGCTTCAGCTAAAGGGTGTTGAGACGTTCGTTTGTATAAGGTTTCTTAGAGCCTAAATACATAACTAATGACATGTAACATCGGAGCAGGTCATTCGAGCGGCTCCATCATAATTGATGCTAACGAGTATCATAAATGCTGTAATTGAGCCCGAACCTGTTTTCGCCTATCTGAGTACGCATCATGTGATGCATCAGGCAAGATCGACCTCCACTATCCATTAAAGTCTCGTAGAGACACTCGAGCTACTATAATTCATCTTTGGTGTTTGATACCACTTTTCATTTGATATTCAAGCACAGCCCCCATCGACTACAATCGGAACTGGAGTCAAACCAGGGTCTAAAATACTAGTGTTCTTTAAAGTTAAAGCGCCGTTGATTGCGAGGACCTTTGTCTTCGACCTAATGCGATTTGATGCATGTCACGAGGAAACATTCAAGTACTAGTCTAGGGCACAGGTAGACAGTAGCTGAAAGGCCACATGCAGATTGGACTTTCTGCTAATGATACCGTTTCTTCATGCCTCGACGCTGTGCGATTTTTTTCACAACTGGAATGCTAACAGAATTCGATGAAGGCATGAATCGAACAAAATGACATGGACAAGAACAGGGTGGGGAATGCCCAGATATGCTCCTCATTATCGCGTGGCCGGGCCGAGAACATCGCCAGGCACAGATGAGATGATGAGATCACCGTTGGCCGTTGCCAATGTTGTGAATTGCGACAGTAAGACGGCACTTGTTTGCCGCGGGACCGGGGACCTTTGCCTACCGGTCTAACCTGTCTTCAGCAGGTGTTATTCCCATGTGCCCCCGCAACCCGGAGCTAGAGCGTAAAAAAAGTTCTTATGCTGACCAAAGGTCCCAACGGTCTACAGACCAACGGGCCAACGGTAACGGTAGGATATCACCCCTAATTTGATAGATAAGGCGAGTGCTGCCGATCTTTGTCCTTTCGTGCTAATAACAAGGTAGCTTCCCGTCTCGCAGCTCGTAAACCCCCCATCCATCGCGCGTAAACCCCTCCGTTTGACCTCTGGGCGAGGAATTGTCAGACCCCTAGAGTCTTAGTCAGGTGGTTGACTAAGACTGACTCGAGCTCGTAAGTCGACTTTCTAAAAGGCCCTACAGCTTCTTAGACTCGACTCAGACCCGGAGTAACAGACTTCAAACTTCATCTTTAGTCAACGACTTTCCAACTTTGGTCGCGTCCAATATCGGTAGGAAAACGAGTGAGGCACTGCTCCCCGGCCTACCGCCGCTCGGGTGCAGCTATGCAGGCCAAGAGTTGCGGCAACCGGGGTCGCGCCCCAGTCTTGTGGTAACCTCGTACATGCGACCTGCCATCTTGAGCTAGCTCCTCCTGTGATGAGAGCAATACAAGCTCATGCGATTGGGATGAACGCCCACTCGACATCCGATGGTGACATCGACAGTCTCCAGAAAAACGACAACGGGTTGCCCATCGGGTCGATTGTCATTGAGAAGTGGATGACGACTACAATGGGGGTCTTTCTCAACATGGAGTGCCAGAGTGGTATAAGAGACGCGCCGCCGCGGTCTGCAGGCGATAGGGACTGCGTCTGTTGAGCTTGAGTCTGCAGCCCAGCTTTCGACTCAAGAGGCAAAAGTTGTGTCGTGTTACTCTCGTTCAATCGGCAAGATGCGCAGCTCCTCGATTGCCGTGCCGGCTTTGCTGGCCAGCGCAGCTGACCTCGCTGTCGCGCAATTCCCCAACTCGACGATCCCCGGCAACAGCTCTGAGCCTTGCGCTGCCGTGAGCGCTGCTTGGGCTTCGCAGCATGCGCGTGCTCCAACTGGTACTTGGAAACCCGATAACGAGATGCCCCATTGATATAGACTGACAAGGGTGGTGCTGTAGTTGTCCCGTCTGTACCGGCTCAGTTGGCCTACGACTGCCTCAACTCCGTCCCTCTTGGAAAGGAGGCCGCCATTGAGCTCGTGGACTCTCTGTTCCCGTACCTTGAATGGCAGAGTGGTAAGTACATATCTCAGTGACTTTGTTGAAACCTTTGGACTTCTGAACTAACTTGGCTTTAGACGCTGCTTACAAGGCGGATCCCCCACCAGAGTACGACTTCCCGGCCTACGACCTCTTCGCAGCCGCCTCGAGCATCAGACAGAACCTGGTCGACGACGTTTACACAAGCGAATACGCCTTCCAGTCTGCTCTCTACGAGGAGGTGTTTGGCCCCGGCCACGACGGCCACTTCGTGTACTACCCCGACTTGCTCACGGCGGTGTTTGAGTGGACCCGTCAGCGGGGCTTGGTCTCCATTAGCGAGGATGGTTCATCTTTGCCTGTGATCAAGATCTATGGTACGTTCTGACTCGGCGATAATGAATCTACCGATCACATTTCTAATTGTTCTTCAGAGGAGGTCATCTCTACCCCCGAGACTGCGTCCGCAGTCAAGCTCATCAACGGTATCGAGGCTTCCAAGTTCCTCGAGGATACCGTCAACAAGGCCAACTGGAACCGTGATGCCAACTCTGCCTACAACTCCATGTTCTTTGAGAAGTCGGGACAGGCTACCGGGATCGGCAATGGCTACTTCAGCTCTGGCGGTCGTGTCAGGTACGTGAAGCGTGAATTGAGACAGAGATCTATCCCATCTAACAGGGTCCATGTAGATACATCTACCAGGGCGCCAACACGACCCTTACTTTTGAGAACGGCACCGAGGTCACCTTCGAGAACCATGCACGGGTCAAGAAGGATCTCACCGGCATCGTAGACGGCCCCTCCTTCTACGCCAAGTTCTGCAATCCGCTCAGCCCGGCCTCCGGTACCCCGTCCGGCACCTCTCCATCCAATGCCTCCACCCCCATCCTTCCAGGCTATCCGGAACCCGTCGTCACCACCAGCGACGGCGTTGTGTCCGGCTACTACCTCGAGGGCGAAGGCTTCGAGGATGTTGCCGTCATTGTCTTGACCGCCTTCGAGAACGAGAGCCCTGCCGAGTTCCAAAAAGTTGCCCAGGACTTCTACACCGCTGCTCTCTCGGCCGGCAAGACCAAGCTCGTCATCGACTTCCAGCAGAACGGCGGCGGCTACATCCTCCAGGGCTACGATTTCTTCCGCCAGCTGTTCCCCGAGACAGACCAAGATGGCTTCTCCCGCTGGAAGGAGAGCGACGGCTTCGTCGCCGCGGCCCAGATTGTCTCCGACATTGTGGCCGATGTGGACATTTACACCAGCGATGATGACAACCTGATTTCCCTGGCTGAGAGTTGGTTCAACTGGCGCTACGACTACAACCTCACCAACCAGCCCTTCACCTCTTATGAGGACAAGTTTGCGCCCCAGGTCTTCCAGAACACCTCCTACACAGATCTCATGCGCTGGAACCTCAACGACCCCTTGACGACCACCAACGCTACTTTCGGCCTTGGTATCGAGATCAACGGGTACGGCAACCTCACCGGCCTTCCCCAACCCTTCGCCGCCGAAAACATCATCATTCTCTACGATGGTGTCTGCGCTTCCACCTGCACCCTCGCCTCCGAGTTCCTCCGCCTCCACGGCGGCGTTAAGTCCGTCGCCTTCGGCGGTCTCCCCGTTGAGGGACCCATTGAGGGTGTAGGCGGCATCAAGGGCTCTCAGGTCCTTGACTGGAGCAACATCTATGGCTACACTGAGTTCCTCCTCCCCTACGCCTCCAATGACGAGCAGAAGGCTGCTTTTGCTCGCTACACCGACCTGCCCTTGAACCGTAGTCTCGCTGCCGCCGTCAACGTCCGCGACCAGATCCTGAGGGATAACGTGGATGACGGTATCCCTGCGCAGTATGTCCGTGAGGAGGCCGACTGCCGTCTTTACTGGACTCTGCCCATGATCAAGGATGTCACCGAGATCTGGAAGGCTACTGCGAACGCTGCTTTCAACGGTGGCAAGTGTGCCTACGGAGGTATTGCTAAGCGCGGTGTGTCTGCTAAGGCGGCTGTCAAGCGCAGCGAGTACTTAGCTGCTTCGAGCCTCAAGGAGAGGGCTGCTCCTGTTCGTCGTGAGGAGCCGGTTGCCAATGATCGCTTCTGGCAAGACAAGTACGTGCTGAAGGCGATTGACTAACGTACTTGGTGATTTGTACTGTAAAAGAGATCTTGAAATGAGTAATCCCAGGGCTAAAGCTCTACATCCGGTTTTTCTGTGCATTGAGGTTTCAAAACAGATTGAAACCAATGGCAATCTTCATTATTGGCTGTAAAATTCCATAATCATTCACTCTGTTTATCTGAAGAAAGGTATGAACCACCATCTTTGTCCCTCGAGTACGGCGGGCATTCCCGTCGCTTCTGGAGGGAAAGCCTCTCTTAATCGGAAACTTCATTTTCTGTAAAGAGTTCAAGACCTTGGATAGCCTCGATTGTTTCCCGACTCGGCGGCACCAAGACATAGCTGTCAGCCTCCGCTCCATGTTCGAGATCGCTGTGGCTTAGGACTGCGCCGCATTCTATCATGAACTTGCAGGCCTCGAATGCATTCTGCGGGCGTCCAAATTCAGAACCATTCTTCAGGCCATCAAGGAAACGTTCTAAACTCAACAATCAATTCAAGCTGCTCGTTGGGAAGTTCGAGGCGGGAAAGAAGGTCGCGGAGAAGCGACAAGTCTACGAAATTCGTCCAGATTATCTCTGGGGGGTCACCGGCCTCCACATGTAATGATCCTGCCAGGACGCTTCTCACCGCAGCAAAGAGATGCTCTCTGTGCGGCAATCTCTGCGTAGGTGTTGATAGAGTGGCTTGTACCACAACAGTTGTTTTTGCCCAGATCTGGGATGCTAGGCGGAAAGAATCCAAAGCACCTGGACTGCCGAGGCTAGTCTCCAGTTTGTCCATCATTTTTCCACAAATCTTGAGAAGCCCCGGGCCTGAGGCTAATAGGTCATAGATCTCCGCTTGCTCAATTGTGTGTAGAGACCTGTTTATAAAGCCCATGCAGATGTCGACATCACTTTCATCCAGGTCATGTTGTTTTCC